CAACTCTGTTTTTATAGTTTCATATTATACCTTTCTTTACAGGATTAGGATGGTTAGATCTTAAGTGGAGATAGTGGTGAGTGTGGGTATATTTCCTGTAGATTTCCGTGGATAAGCGGTGTTTATGTCAATTAACGAACACATTGAGGAGGGATAGTTGGTGGTTTTCTTCTATCTGCATCATGAGTTGGTTGTTGGTGTTTTGGTTTTTGACGAGTTGCAGGAAATCTACTGTGGTGTCTGGTTGTATGGCTAGATGGGGAAAGTATCATCAACACAGCATTTCCAGATTATTAGTTTCACTTTTGCTGTTTCTGACATAAAGATATCAATGACAATGGATAAAAGTTTGAAACCAATAGCTAAACCACTGATCTGTTCATAGAAGGTTTTTCCTAGCTGGAAATAGGTGGTGCTGAAGCAGTAAGAAAGAGCTCCAATATTCAATTGGAGGCTTAGGCTTGGGTCATCTTCCAGTTTCTGTGTGTTAAGCGTAAGTAAAGGAGTCCTGTACTGGTATACTTGAAAACCTTATATTGCAGTTAATCAGTTGATTTTCTGAATCGATGGGTATTCTGTTGACGTTTTTGGCGAATGATGTAGAGTTAACAACATTGTCATTTGTAGGTCTGAAAGGTGTAAGAATTGGTAGAGGGTATCAGGTGATTTGATTATAAAGGAAGTCTAGCATTTGTGGTGGGGGTGAATGGAAGATCAGTTCATAAACCTTAGAGACTGTATAGCTGTGGAACTCTGCAGACATTAAGTTTTTATGATAAAATTCAGGAGTGCCAGTGTTTCAATTAGCTTGGTAATCTTCTTTTAAAATGTTATGTTGTCCATCTGAAATATCTGTTGTAACTTGTTGTTATAATCATTCTTATTTAGAAGAATGGTTTTGTTTCGTTTGTCAGTGGGAAGGATTACAATGTTGGAGTCTGTTCTTAGTGATTTGATTGAAGCTTTTTATTTTCCTGATAAGTTTTGTTGGTGTATTTTATGTTGTGTCAAAGCTATCCTGGTTAGACATTGTAGCTCATCACCTTCATTTAGGGCAGTATTTGGGACAATCCTTTCACACGCACCCTATCCCTCCACCCCTTTTTGTTTTGTTATTCCCAAAAATAGTCTGCATGCACAACACTTACAAACAACTGATATTCTTACAGCTGTTGTGACATTAAATCTGCATTTTACAAAATTGGTTGGATGAAGCTTATGGAACTGTAGAGGAATTGCATTGTACTGAGTTTAACAAGGACAATGTTGAAAAGTTGTTTATGGTTATGGTTACCCTCATCTCTAACTTAACTGAATTAGGTTTGGTGATAGCCATGTGGTATTCTTGTAACACATTTTTTGTGTACAACGTTTGTACATTTGAAAAGCTTGCTACATTTCATGTAGATATAATAATAAATTCAAGATTATAGTCAACATTGCTTCTCCAATATAATCAGTCCATTGGACAAACCCCATATAAATTCAGTAAAACAAGCATAAATAATTAATCATTTTTGTTAATATTCAGTTTGTGTTAACGTGCTTGTTGAACCATATATGAACTATTAAAAAAACATTTTTATTTATAAGAGTTATTGTTTAAGTGAGTGAATGTGGAAATATACTTTGTTTGTGCAGTTTTATAACTGAAAGCTATTCTCGTTCTCCACAGATTCCCAAATATAATTGTTATCAGACCTTGAAATTTAAAACTATAAAATTTACTTCCTACCAAAAAAGTTGTTTTCTAATAAATATTAAATTCAGTAAACTTCAAAGAGGGATGTATACTCTCAGAGCTTTAACCACAGACCTTCTAGCACCCACTTGGATGCCTGGTGTAGTGTTTGATATCCAAAAATGGTATCTCAGAGGTCTCCTTAACTGTCTCAAGTCTTATGGGTTAAAAACTTGCTGTAACTTGTCATTATGACCCATGTTTTTTGCATAGCTTTACCCTTTTGCTATGGGTAGATCAAAGTGTGCATGTCACAGTGTTTTAGAGAGTTACCTTCAAAATTTAATTAAACTACTCTATTATCATTGTATGAAAATAAACTTGTCATCAAGATGTGGCTAATAAATCAAATTTTAATAATATATATGTTTTAAATTTTAGTTTTATATATATATATTAAAATATCCTCAATCTCCCCTAGGTCTTCCCTCTTCTCTAATTTATTTACCACTCCTCCAAGAAATACGGAATTTAACATAAATTGCTTACTATAATATATATGTTACTCGAGCAAACCATAATTTTTAGAGACTTCAACATTATTTGTTTACAGAGTCATAAACTAGAAAATCAGACCCACTTGCCACTCCAATATGTCATATTCTTTCTTTCACAAATTGCCAGTAGTTCTCTCTTATATTTTATACAATATTGTTTATAACCAATGGAAAGCCAAAGTTTTAATCTATCAAATGACGTACTATATTACATTGTTTTCTGTGTGGGGTATTGTCTGTTTCATTTTTAGTTTGAAAGTTTCTCTCACTGTGTTTAGATATACAAGCTTAGATAAATTTTTAAAGGCTTTTATACCATAGTTAGAAAGCCTGGTAAAATATGATAGTTATAGGACATTGTTTGCTTTGTATGCATTATTATTCTGTGTTCTTAGGTGCATTGTAAATAAAAATTTAGTGTACTAGTACCATTAGTACAAAAAAAAAGAGGCTTGAATTTCATAAACAGATGAAGAAATAAAAAAAAAGAGGGCACGGATAAGTGCTATATTTCTTATTTCTCATGTACATTCTTTATATATTATTATAAAAGTTACTAAGATGTAAAAATCAGAAACTTGTTAGTTATTATTAATGATTGAAAATTCTTTACGGGGTATGCTTTTGTGTTACGCCATTCAATATGGTAATATGAGCTGCGTGTTCACCGAGTGTTTAAAACTTGTGTGGTGTGATTCTTAGTTAGACATAGGTAAAAGGGCAATAAAATAAAGTATAAGCAAACATAAACTATTGTAGTGTCCTGTTACAATTTTTAGTCATTCTAGAAATTTAAAAAGTGTAATTTTGATTTATTTTGTATTTATTTCATGGTACTTATAAGATCTGTTAAATTGCTCGATTGTGTATAAAGTTAGGGTAGAGAAAATAACAGATAAAATATAAAGTTTTACTGAAAAAGAATGTTTGATATTTATTTAGGTTTTAGAGATTACTCAAATGAAAGAAAAGTATTTTTAATCTTAACATGAAAATCATTTTGCACTTAGTTTAGTCAACACTATGACTCCATATCTTTGTGGACAAATTTTTAGTAAAAATGCTTCATTAAATAATCTGAATTTTATTGTCTACAAAAGACTTCTAATGCTTACTTTAAGCTTGCCAAATTTTTTTAAGGTACACAAAACATATTAAAAGTTATAAAAGGGATACTCTTGTGGTAACTTTGCAGGTTTTAAAGAAAGATCAGTCACATTGACCAAGCTCATGTGGAAGGTATTAGAGAGTGCCAAATCATTAATAAATACAGTGTTTCTACTGCCTTGACAGTGAGCCATACCACATCCAATGCTGTTGCCTCATTTCAGTGGCAGAAACTGTGTAATGTTACAGAAGATAGTACAGTTATATTCAATGCCTTTTTTTAGAACTCTTAAAACTAAGAATAAATAGCATGTCAACTGAGTGTTAGTTTATATTACTGCTAGGAGAAAAACTCGTACCTTGTATATGAAACTTTTTTTTGGTTGTGGTATCTTGTATTTGAATGCAAAAAAGTTTATAAAGTGTAAAGGCAGTGCTGTGTATTTAAATTAATTAAAAGTTAAGTGGCCTCAAGTTATGTAGTACATTGTTCTATCTACAAATATTGTAATGATTAACATCTAAATAAGCACAAATTAAGTAATGAAGAACAAACAAAAGTTTACAAAAATATGAAGTTAATTACCTGATTAGTTTCGACATACACACATTATACTCATGAAAATGACGCACATGGTATGTTGAAACTAGTCAGATAATTAACTTCATATTTTATTTGTTATTATTATTTAAAAAATCAATTTTATATACACCACCTTTCATTTTAAGTTTATTATGTAAATGTATTGAAATTATAGTGAAGGAGTTCTTGATCTTTTACCATATACAATATCCTTGGGAATGATTGTACAGACACATGTATACATAGTGAAAGAGCAGCTGATCTTGAAGTGTAAGTATTATTCTATTATATGTCATTCAAAAACCGTGATAAAAGTATTTATACACACCTGCAAGCTTATTGACATAGCTACAACTTTCTTTGTCTCAAAGTCACACGAGTCTGGTGCTTAATTGGTTTCATGTGGCATAAACAGATTACCACTGGAAATTATACCAATCCATTGCAGGTTAACCCCTAGCTATTAGCTGGTACTAGTTTTACAGACTGAAGCAAATTTTGGGTTGTGTCTACTAGAACACAATAGCTTAGTGTGAGTGAGCTTTGAACCCATATTCTTTTTATTACAAGTTCAAATTGTTAAACATTAGGCTACACCTCCCATTTATTTATATAACTATATAAATAAAAGAGAGTGAGTATATAATTGTAACACACACACACACAATTACTATACAGAAATGTCATAAATCAACTGCTAATAAAGTTACTTTACTATTAAAATCATTTGCCTTTCATAAAATGTTATAACAAAGTAATGGAGTATAGCATAGCTGTGTCTGTAGCTATGAATATCACCTCATACATTGGCTTCAAGTGTGCAAGAATGCAGAATGTTTTGTTAATTTAAATGACCAAATTCATTTATGAAATAATACTTAGTATTTACAAACCCAGTGTACTGTTGCTGAAATGAGCATTGTATTTTGCCATTTTATGTACATAAGTAACTAGTGTAAAATTTTGCACAAATAAGGGATGTATTCATTTTCTGGTGGACCCTTTAACCTCAGAAACGAAAGGGTCCAAATAACTCTTAGGCCTTTTTTTAATGTCAAGTTTTGTATTGTAGGTCAAGAACCAGAATTTTAGCTCAAGAAAAATCACAGTGTGAAGAATCTCTTGTGGTGTACGAACAGCCTGACAGAGCTGGTGACACTGTGACAGACAAAAGGCAAATCCCTGTAGAGAACATCAACGAATGTTCAGCCCCTAAAAAACAGAAAAACAATCCTGAAGGTAAGAAGTCATTTACTTTATAGCATAAAATATATTTTAAAATATATAAAACCATAGAACTTGTTTACATAATATATGGATTTCACTAACTTCTTAATCTTATGGATTTGTTAAAACTTTTTGTGGAATAGACTTCTGGCATAAAGTTTGAAAAAAAAATGGAAATTGAAAAGCTTACTCTTAATTTTTCATGTGTTACACTTCACAGAGAAATAAGAACCATGGAAGTTTTTCTTTTCAGGATTGTTTGTTGAAAAGTTGCTAATACACTTGTTTTCAGGGAAGTGAAGTATAATGTATGTAGCTTACAGTGGAAGTTTTGTTGCTTTGTTATGTGGAAAACTTACTAAATTTTGTGGGGACATTTTTATTTAAAAAAAGATTTTGTGAGTGACTGGTCTTGCTATTGAAGCAGGTCAAACAGGTGAGAAATTGATGCTTTACAGAGGACTGTTAGCCTAGGTTTCCCTTTTGATGGACAGTATATAATGTGGGTACACCAGCATGTTGGAAAAGCATTTTCATTTATTGAGCAATTTTGGATGTTGTAATATGGGAAATATTCAAGCATGATAACATACCTCAAGATGAATAATAACAATTATTCTAAACCTTTTGTCCCTCCTTTCTGCCTTGTAATGATGTTTGTCATTGAATATTTATCAAAGCTCTCACAGTGCTCTTCTTCTTCTTCTCAGCAATGTTCCTATCTGATATGCACAATGATCTTTGTTTTTAAGAGTGGGTATGTCAGCTAGCCATTTCTAAAAGATGTTGGTTTGTGTGTTTATGCTGTTTTTCCTTTGGCAAAAAGAGATTGCACTACTATTGTGTATTACAACTTTGTAGCTCTTTTTGTAACCTTCTATTTCATATTTTCCAGATTATGATGTGTTAGTTTGACCTACTAATAGTTTAAGTTCACAACCTGAAACTAGTAAATAAAAAATTTTATAACACTTGTTGATTGAAACTTTCCTAATAATATGAAGCTTCTGTGCTGGAGTATGATTTTTATTTTGTTGTTGTTCTTTTGTTTTAGGTGCATACGTGTGTCCTAGTTAAAATAATTCAGGAACACATAAAAGAAATTTTGTTAGAACTTTTTTGCATTGTTGAACATCTACAAATCTTTTTTTCTTCCTTTATTACATAACATTTGTTGTGTTTGATATTTTTCATCAACAAAAGGGTAAGTTTTTTCAACTAAAATTCCTTTTCTGTTCATATTTTACAAAACACAAAATTTTTTAAAATAAAAATTTGCTTAAAGAAACAGACTATTACCAACATTTTGATTTTGCTGAACATAAATTTTTTTCTTTCTTTTTTGTAAAACATTTGTGCAGTTTACTACAGCAAATAAATACATTTTACCTATTTAAATCTTTATTTTCAGTTTCTATGTACCAAAATAATATTTAAAATCATCTTTTATTTACTTTAAGAAGCTTTTGTTTTTTAATCATCAACAGAAACAATTGTTTTTGGCCATTTTTTGTAGAGTGGTCTCCTAGATCATTGTAAGGAAGAAAGTCACTGTTTTACACAGTTCATAAGGTCAAATAAAGTGTGCATCCCTCACATGAAATTTGTATAACTGAAATAATCAAACACAATGATTACAATTAGTTGATTATTTTTGCAAGTTGTGAACTAATCAATTAAGCTGAACAACCTTGAAGTTATCAAAAATAATAATGAGAAATCATAATGGCAACATTTCTATTACTTGGATAGTTGAAATAAAGAAAACAGTAATTCCAAAATATACTTACCTCTGCTGATACTATAGTTATTTCTCGATTTCCAGTGTTTCCACTCAAATGCCCTCGGCAAATTCTGATTTGCAAAATTCTCCACCAACTTCAATGTGCTCTCCATCTAGGTATTGTATCTAAGCACCTTATTCAGATAATGTAATCACTTTTTTTTTTGACAAAGCATTTGGCACGGGTTTCTATGAACAGGAGTGTTGTGATTATTCACAATTTACAATTTACTTTGCAACTTTGAATGTAGTTGGCATTACCACAGTTATATCTTTGTTTATACTTATAAATTACTTTAACAAAAATAAATAAATAAAATACATACCAACAAATATGAATTCCTGTGTTAATGTTTCTACTACAAAGGCCAACCAGACCTCTTCTCTTCCACCTTTGCTATCTGATGTTTGTCAACGGTCAGGGCAGGGGTCACTCTCAGTCAAAGTTGTCCGTGATGAAGACGTATATACAGACCAAGGGTGTCTCTCTGAGGAGTTCTGAGGCAACCTTTGCAAATGACCCAGGACCAGCTGGGGAGAATTTAGACTCACTTTTTCAGCTTCTTCTTTTACTAGTTGGCCTAAATGAGGATCATCTTGATCAGCCACCTCCAGTCCCTTTTCTTCAGTTGGTTACTTAGGTTTGTGAGGTTTTGGGGGTCTCTACTATTGCATTTGACTCTATTCCTTCCTTGTTGGCAGAAAAGATGGCAAGTGACTACTTGGTTTTTCCTCCTTCTGATATTGCTGTTCATTCTGGGAAAATTGCCGCTCAGTTATGTGATGGGATAGCTATGCCTTGTTCCCCACGTTTACTGGAACAGCATGCTTTTGCTTATCACCATCAGGAGGAGGTATATTCAGTTTTTCAACAGCTGGACCCCTTTTGGACATGTGGGGGCCTAGTTTGGAACTTGTGATCACTTTAAACAGATCGTAGTTTTCTCAGGTTCATCTTACTCTCACGACTGTCCTGAAGTATTTATCTTCAATCCAACTTTTGTCGGAAGCCTATCAACATTTCCCTCAGCAACCTAAGGATGAGTGGGAATTTTGCTTATGTCTACCTCAGTCAGATTATCTTCTTCAGTTTTTCTCTGGTTTCCTGGCTGGTTTGTTGATTGGATTTATCAGGTAGAGACACTTTGTTAAAAAGTATTGGTTTATCGTCCTCTGCCCTCAGGGAGGTATGGAAAGCTCCATTTCTCTGACCTATATTTGCGGGAGTTCCAGAGGCATTAGAATCATGAATTGATTCAACTCCTTTACATTCTTCTGTATCATTGTTGGCTTTTCACCTTTCTGGTGCTAATTTTGGAGTGTCAGCTCATAGTGTTTCCCAACCCCTTCCTTTGATTCCCAGAACTGTTGGTTCCCATAATAGTCTGTCCGTATTCTCAAGGATCTTTGGCTCAGGCACACCATCAACAATGGTGTGGTGACTATCCCATGGGCAGATGAGCATTGGGAGCATGATTACATTACTTTCTGGACATCTGGAGTTCTTTCACCAGGGATTTATGGATACTCCATGTTCTGGCTTCAGGGTTGGTCATTCAATTTACAGATTTGTGCACAAGGGTCATGTGCTACAGTTCAGAGCTCTACCTTTTGGTCTTTCATCAGCACCTTATGTCTTCTGAAGAATTGTTTGAGCTTTTTCTCATCATCTACATTCCTTGGGCCTGTGCACACATCAATATGTAGACGACTGGCTCCTTCTGGCACCATCCTGTCAATTAGCAGAACAACACTCTCAGATTCTCCTTTTAGAAGCCACAAAAGCAGGCTACCTTATCAGACTGAAGAAATCTATTCTGTCACCAATGCAATATCACATCCATCTGGGTGTGTTTTTCAATACTCAAGTCATGCTCAACCAACCCCTATCAGGTTTCAAGCCATGGAAAGAGCTGTCAGGCTTTTACTTATGTCTTCTTCTACAACTGCATAGATATTTCTCTCTTTTGTGGATGTGAGCATCCCTCAAGCTTCTCATTCCTTTGAAACGAGCACATGTGAGGTCCTTTCAGTGGTCACTGCATGACCAATGGATCATGCATTCCGATCCTTTGGGTCATCCTGTATCGTTACCCAGGATCAATATTGTCAATTATGAGTGGTGGTTGGATCGGAACAACACTACTATTGGGGTACCCATTCCACCACCTCATCCCGAGATCCATCTGTTCACAGACGCATCTCTTCAGGAATAGAGAGTTTATCTTCAAGGTCAGGCATTCCAGGGTATTTGGATAAAAGATGAGTCTACCCTCCATATCAATATTCTTCAACTTGTTACATTACACTGGGCAATGTTTCTAGGTCTATCTCTCTTGAAGGGAAAAACTGTTGTGATGCATTCCAACATTTCCATGGTGGTATCTTAGATTTCTCGTCAAGGAGGCACACATTCTCAAGACCTTGGATCTTCTCTACTAGGCTCATTCCCATAGTATCAGTCTTTTAGCATGTCATATTTCAGTAGTGATGAATTTAATTGTAGATCACTTGTCTTGACCCAATCAGATTCTTCCGACAAAATGGATGCTACATCACAAGGTTTTTCAATGGATTTGATCACATTTCTGATCTCCAACGATCAATGCCTTTCTGACTGATTGGAATTCTCAACTGAAGTTGTTATGATACCTCATCCTCAAGCATTGGCAGTAGATGAGTTCAGTCAGGACTGGACAATTTTACATCTGTATGCCTTTCCCCTGATTCGGCTTTTGCCCAGGGTTCTGACTATGGTTCGCTCCACTCTGTTGAGTTCTCTTGGTTGCACCACATTGGCCAGGTCAAATGTGATTTCCGCTTCTTCAGTGTCTGCAGGAATGTCCACCTCTACCTCTTCCACATTGGCAGTCTCCATTGAGACAACCTCAATCAGACATTCTCCACCCAGATGTTTGGAAACTCATCTTTATGCCTGGAAATTGTACAGTACTTTGCACAACATAAGGGTTTAACTGCTAAGGTTTCTCTGTATATAAATAAATCTCTCCATAGGCCAACCACAGCAGTTTATCAATGGAAATGGAATACTTATCGTCAGTGCTGTATTAAAAGAAATTTAAACCCTCTTCAACCTAAAGTATCTACCATATCCTGTTTTATGACTTGGGTATTTGAGAGGGGTCTTGCTTCGTCTACGGTGGCTTTATATAAGGTATCCTTATCCGCTATTTTTCTGTATTCCAAATATCGGAAGGTTTTTGAATCC